TATTTGGTACTTACTTTTCTTACATACTTAATTCATTTGGGATACAATATTATTAAAAAGTCTCCAGGTTGAAGCTTCTGAAACTAAACACTTCCTCCAGTGCACTGAAATTAAAGGTATTAAGGAAAACCTACCCGGTTTCCCCGATAATAAGATGGAGTCTTATTTTCTTTTGATCCCTGAAATAAGTACTTGGCCTTATTTTCGGGGAGATCTTATTATTTTTGAGGTGCAGGAGGCGACAAGTGTGGTCACCTCATGGCTGCTGCTGTATTGCAATATTTTCGGGGGAGGGCTTATTTTAGTGCATGCGCTCAGAAGCTTGATTGGGCTTATTATCTGGGGAGGTCTTATTTTGGGGAAAACAGGGCAGCACTGCCTAACTTGCTTAGAAAATTTAAACTGAAAGATGGAGAGGGCTGGGAGAAAAAATCCTGTAGTTGTGTTATATACTAATTTTTTTAATAAATGTTCCTACTGAAATCATGACACACAAGATAGTTCTCAACTTTAAAATTGAACATATAAACAATTAAGAATATTACTTATTTTGTAGTAAGTTACATATGCACATAGCTATTAAAAGAAATCATACTCTTATGCTGGACCAAAACTATCATGGCAAGTTTCTGAGGCATTCATGAGCATAAGAATGAGGTACTATTTACTGGTTAATGCTCCCAATTTCTTAGGTTTAGTTTTATTAGATTTATATGTCGCCCTTCTCCCAAGGACTCAGGGCGGCGTACAACATTAAAAGAAACACATAATACAAAAGTTTTTTTTAAAATTAAATAGAACATTCCAAACCCAATTGATAAAGGAGGAAACGTTTTTAATCTTATAACACTTGTATTAAGTATTTGACTATGCTTCCTATAACATAGTTAGCAAGTCTTATACAGTCTGGTATAATAAAACCTGGGTTGTGTGAGGACCGGGCTGCAAATTCTCTTCTAGATCAAAGACTCTCTAAATGGCAAATCAGCAAAGATACTGCTAAAAAGTGAATGCGAGCACTAACAAAAGGTAGATTTCATCAGATTTAATAAATGTCATATCCTAAAAAAAATTAGACAGTGATCACTAAACTTGATTCAACTTACCCCCAAGCAATGTAAGGTTCAACGATCCTCAGCATGTTAATGGATGCCTTGTTGAGTTTCACAAAAGTCCCATTAAAAATCTGCCGCAGACGAAGGAGCTGTAATACCTTACGAACCTTGGGACTGACACCATTAATTCTAAACAGCAAAAAATGGAAACTTTTTTTAGTATAGACATTCAAAGGTACTTGCTATTAATAAACTTGCATCTGTAAGCTAATGTACAATACAAAAAGATGCACAGTATAAAATATATATCATTGTTGCCCTAAATTAGTAACCTGTTCTTTAATTGAAGGATGCAAGCCCATCTATTTCTTAGGAACATCATCAACGTGCTTGTTCCAAACTTAATCTGGGATGTTTTTTTCAACATGCCATCCTACCTACACGCAAAATTTTTTAGTGGTCTCTCATTTACTAGGTCCAATCCTGCTTAGCTTTTATGGTTATCAACCAAGGTAAGCAACTCCTGTTATCTAGCCAAAAACTATGCAAAACACTCTTCTACAAAATTTGATTACCTATACTCCAAAAATGCATTACTTAATTAAACTAAGGTAAGAAGCAATTGGAAATTAATTATGAAGGTTTAGATGATCAAACACAGCATACGCTGGTTACTTGACTACTGGTTGACAGCTGCAGATATGGACTCAAGAGTTTGTAGAAAAATTAGGTTGATCTCAGATCTGTCTTAAGAAATGTAAACATGTAGGGATCTATAGAACTCACTGATTTGTGCATGGAAACTTTCAGAGAATTATGAAATATTTTATTCACAGTCCTGACCACACTTCCAAAGGCAGTTTCAGAACTAAAAGCTTAGAACCAGAAGCTGTTTGAGATATCCTGAAAAGGGGGGCCTATTTCAGGACTGATTACCCCAGAACCCTTCAAATTGCTTCCAGTTTGGAGGATTTAGTTCCAGCAGCTGTAGAACCACTCTCTCAACAGCCTGGTTTCAAAGAACACTTGGTGGAGTCTATAGAGGGCAGTGGTGGGATACGACCGGTACACCCCAGTACGGGCGTATTGGTGCCTGCTGGGAGCACCAGGTACCGTTCCGGTGCTCTGGAGGGCCCACCTGCCCGCCGTCTTTACCTGTATTTGAGTTGATCGGGGATTTTGTGCACGGAGCGTACGGCGCCTGCTTGATGCTCCGCCGAGCAGCTGGAGCGTTGCGGGCGGTAAGTATGAATGCACACACTGCACACGTGCACGTGGTGGACACTCGGCCCCGTTGCCACATACTAGTTGCAACGGGATCCGGAACCCACCACTGATAGAGGGGGAACATAAAGTTCCAGATTTCTAAGGAAATTTCTATTTCTGCATCAGTGAGTTTTTCACATCCCTGACATGTTATCCTTTATTTTTTTCTATACATCTGCATATAACAAACACTCATTTTGTACCCAACATTTGCTAATTTGCAATTCTTCATCAACAGATCAGTAATATACCATCCCTTTGTATGCAAGAAGCTGAACTTCAATTCTGAGCTCATTAAGTTAGAAAAGGAAAAAAAAATCTTGCCTGAAATTTTTCAGGCCCATGTCAAAAATGATCTGACTCAGTGACTTCATCGAGTATATAATCAGTACAATACTGGGATAAAAATAAAGCATTAAATTCTACTTAAAACTGCCTTTAAAGTGTGTCTAAATTGAATACTGGATAATGTAAATGTCGTAAACAATCACAATCTCCTTAATAAAAAATATTGACATAAATAAAATTGTCTAATTAGTATTGGCTTGAATTAACTGTTTAACAGTGGTTTTCATACCAAGGCTTAGATAGTACTACACATAGGTTTAGCATTACATTTGTTTACCTTACCCTCTGATCCTGATTACAAATGCCAATTTGGGTTCAGCAGGTACATAGTAATTGCCAGCTTTGCGAGCCATGCGTGCCATGCGAATCTCACGACGGTACATCTGTCTATATTCTTTATGGTAGGTCTGGGCTCTTTTATAAATGACTTTTCGTTCCTCCTTTCGCAACTGAAATAAGAATGTTATATTGAGAAGTTTATCTTTTTTTCTCCCCCAGGAGATCAGAATGACCAGTTATCCCACTTTTAATCTCACAAATATGTTGTCAGGTAAAATTAAATATCAAACCAAATGAATATGAATTTCAATTTACTCTTGCCATATCATTACAATTTATTTTTATACTTCACTTCAAAGACAACATAACCCCAAGACGGTAAATTCATTTTTAAAAAAATTCCTCATTTCTAATCAACTTGTGCTGGTTCTCAGTTTTTTAAAGGCATTTTGAAGTGAATGCTTACTCTTTTTAATCTTTACCATCTTTACCTTTTTCTTGTAGGGAAGGGCAAGTTCCCAAATTTTGGTAGATTCAAGCCAAAGACAGGACTAAAGCAGAATAGCAGAATTAGAAGACACCTTGTAGGTCCAACCCCCTGCACAAGCAGGAAATATTTTATCAATATATATATATATATATATATATATATATATATGTATGTATGTAAAGTAAAGGAGAGATAAAGATTTTCAATGAGAGAACAGTGAAAGCAGGAATTATTTTAGCAAAGTACAATTTAGGAATGGCTGCAAAATCCTGAGAGTGGACAGTTTTCCAGCATATATCTTGCTAAACCATGTAAAATAATGTGCAGGATATATTAACAACAAAAAAATGGATCCAGGATCATAAGAAAAACGTTAGAATAGCTAGAATGATTTGGAAATGAACAAAACAAGAAGTATGTGAATCCCAAATAAATTGGATTTATTTAATATACTACACTGAATGCAGTCCTTTCCAGGAAAAAAAGCAGAACAGAATAAAAGCAGAATATTTAAGATAAGCTACTGTTTTGCTTGAAATAGGAAAACCTTGGGGTTCTGAGATGCCACACTGCTACAAAACACTAAAAGAAAATTCAAACTAAAGGTAAAAATAAATGCAGTTTTTGCAGGTTCATAATTGATTACACTCTTCAGATCAAAATGAAACATACCAGGGCAACAATTTAAATCTTTGACTTTAAATTAAAAGTGGCATACTAATTTGCAATTTGATACAGATTTACTTGCTAATAAGCCAAATAAACACAATGTGTCTATATTCTATGTAAATGAGCATATAATTAGCCATTAAATCACACTGGATTTTATTGTTTTATTGTACTCTTATGTAAACTGTCATAGGATGTGTCTCATGGAGTAGATTAAAAATATAGTATTTACCTTCTTTTGGACCAACAGTCTCTTCATACGTTTGGCCTTTAAATCAGCAAAAGCCTTCCTTTTCTTTAAAAGGCTTTCTGGCACCGAAGGCAACTTCTTTCCTCTAAATTATAAAGCAGCAAATTAACAAAAATTATATCAAAATATTTCAAATGAAAATGTTTGGTAACTAGTAAAATGTACCTTTTTTAAAAAAAAAACAATCTAGAATTGCAAGCAATATAAACACACCATAATTCAGACATTTTGTTCTTAATTGGTTCATTTTTGCAGTTCTATTGTATTCTAATTATCCAAATATGTATCATCAACCATTCTTACACTATCAGTCACAACACTTCCTTCCATTTATTCTGCTTATTACTATTGCACGTCCCCCCCCCCCCGGAACAATTCTAAAACTTACAGAGAAAGCAGGTTTACTACTTATTGATAGAATTTGGAAGACATTTATTTTCAAAAATCATGGAAAAGACAGGAAGAATTCCAAGGTTTCTTTGCCAATTTCAACGCGTTCCGCGGAGTTCCGGATCCCTGATGTTGAGCGAAGGACTACATTCCTTGCTGTCTTCCATTCAACCTCACTGTATGCGTGTACAGTGCCGGAAGGGAATATCTAGGCCTAGATTAAGCCATAATCAAATAAATGGCTAATCAACCACTAATCAAATATTAGTGAACCTGAGAGGCCTCAAATGCCTTCCTACAGTCTCTCGCTCTGAAAAAATAAGTTTTTACAACATTCAACGTGATCCATTACAGCAGGGATCCAGTTCTCAGCCACATCGCCCTAATTAACCCTTCCAGACAACTATTGCACTAGCTTAGGGAAAACCATCCAACTTACAAAGCCACAATAAAACATTTTTTAAAAAGAAAGGCTTGCAAAGAAGGTCTTAACGCGGTGGATGGCAACAGATTGCCTCCCGAAAGCATTACTTACTCCTCGGCCGCCATGGTCGCTACCGGAAAAAGAGAGACGGGAGCATGCGCAGAGAACATAAACTGTCGCTTAGCGGGCCAATAGAAGGGACTGCTGAATGAGAAGCCCCCACTCTCGTTTAGCTGTCTAAATTATCGCCTGCACCAAGTAGACCACCTTGGGGGAAATATTAGTGCTGAAACGAACGCGGAAGCTGTCGTGACTCCTTCAAATGGTGAAAGATTTTTTTAATGCTTTCGTTTTTATTGCCAACTAGGGTAGGCGATAAGAAGGGGTGGTGACATTTAACGTATGTTATTTTATCAGTTTATTAAAGTAACCTATTTTGGAATTTGAGTGATAATACTACCTATTTTTAATTCTTCGTGTCTCCTTTTCTAGGCAATCAAACAGTGTCGTCTAGATATCAATGACGTCTTTATGAATACACTACAGTATGCCGTTCTTACTGTATATATAACCCAGGCTGGTTAAGTGGGGCTTTCTCCTAAAGCTTTTCCCAAGTGCCTTTTTCACTAGACTACTTTATGGAAATTGGAATACTTCGTGGGATCATATCACATTACAAGGATTTACATTTTATTCTATGTAAATTTCAATGTCCCTGTACGAAGAGCAGCACGTGGCTGGGTTTGAAAGTGTCTGGTTTGTGTAGCCTTTGGATGAAAGATTGGCTGAAGTTTGGTAAAGGCAATCATCTTTCATTTTACTGTCAAGAAAACTCTGCAGACTGTCCATCGTGCCATCGGAAATCAAGCTCGACTTGAAAGATGCTGTAGTTTACAGTAAATCATGTTCATTATGAGTACAATGGGTAAACTGAATCCGGAGCATTGGAAAGCCTAAAAAACGAGAGAAAAGCCAAATGCTTATGTAAAACTATATCCCCCAGCATACATTTCAATCTTAGGAGGGCAAAGAGAAAAAAATGGAGTTACAACATGCTGCGGGAGCAAGTCTTTCTATACAGAGGCATGCATCCAGGTGCATTCTGAAGTTACTTCATTGGCCGGTTAGGAATTTTGGTGTCTGTAGGTCGCCTCCTTAACTTCAGCCTTCCCAATCCAGCTGAATGTGAGCGGTGTGGCGTCACACACTCGTACAGAAATCCTTTCTGAACTTGATCTTTCCCAATGTATGCGTTATCTCGCCAGTAAATTCCATGGGAAATCACAGCTTTGCAGATGTCGATAAAGTTTATGTGGGATAGGAATAAATCAACTTTAAATGTATTCCAACTAATTTGGGACCGCGTTGTGGATCGGATCGATCAGATCTCCGGTTATTGGGGATGATGATGATGGGGGGGGGGAGGAATTACACATAGAGGTGGTCCTGCGGACTAGACGACGGAAGCGGTTTCAGGTAGAAAGCAGCGCGCCTCTCTTTTGCTCCAATTTGCAGAGTTTTCACCACTTGTAAAGAAAATTAGGAGTTCCACTCAATAATGTTCCCGATTCACATTGTTTCCGGCAGGGTTAGTCTGTTACAGGAAAACAGCAGTCTCGAGCTACTTTTAAAAACCCACTCGTTTTGTTCTGGAATCAGAATAAAAGTGTGAGGTACGTTTCTGCGATGGTAACTTTTGTTCAAAGAATTCTTGATCGATTTACAGATCACGCTAAACTAACTCCCGGTTCCTCTTTGTATACATTGTAAGTATTGCGTGAATTCAGCCACGGGGACTTCTACTCCCGGGTTATACCAAGGTTCATGGTGCTGTACTCAGGTGCCTGTTGACTGAAATGGGACGCGCGACTGGGCTTGTTCGCCCACTCCTGGGCCGAGTCCATGGACGCCGGCAAACAAAAAGAAAAAGCCGCGAGGTGTTCCCCCCCCCCCCCCTCGGCGGTGGCTGGTAGGGAAGGTCCCGCGCGTGGCGGACTTGTCTCTTCGGTCCAGTCCGGGCCGTCCGCCAAATTGCGAGGGTGGCGCTGTTGGGCGAAAATGTGTGGGGAGAAACGGTTCGGAATGCAAAGTGGGCGACGAGGAGGAGGGGCCGGGCTGCGAAGCGCAGACGGAGGGGGGCTTGGGGCGGGCTGGCGTTCTCGCGCCGGGGCTATATAGAGCCCCGAGCGGTGCGAACATGCTCACTTAGCGGGCGCTGCGCGGAGCCCTGGCGTAGGCGCGAGGTAAAGGTTGCAGGTAGGGCTGGGGAGAAGGAGGCGTGGAACAGCGGCAGTGGCGCTCCAAGCAACCACCTCTAAAGACTCCTTCGGTGTTCTAGCTGAAGCAGGCAAGGTGGTCGCAGCGCGCGCCCTTTTATTAGGGGAGCCCGGCGGTGCGCGAGCGGGTGAGGCAGGACGAAGGGCAATCCTTTTATCCGAACTTGCACTTTGCTCCCCTACTTTGCCGACTTCCCGCGTCGACTCGCCGCGTGTGGGCTTGGCTTCTCCTGCAGGGGAGAGGCAAGGTGGCCGTTAGGTAACAGGGCTTGTGCTCGCCGCGCAAAACAACCGCTGAGTCAGAAGCGGGGAGGAGTTGCACTTCTTACGGGTCCGTCCCGGCCAGCCAGGTGTCTTTTTAGAGTGTCCAAAGAGTGAGTGAGTGTGCGAGAGAAACTCTTGCCTGCCTCTCTGAAGAGTGGGAGCCCCTCTCCCGAATTGCTCGGGGCAAGGCGCGCGAGAACGGGGGCTCCCCCTGCTCTGAGCTGGCACGCTGCTTTTGACTTGTCGAGCCGGTGCCCAAGTCCTGTGCAGGGGAACCCAGCGCCCTCACGCCCTCGGTCGCGCCGTCGTCAGACGGGCTCCCCGAATCCTCCGTGGCTCCTCCGTCGAAGGGAGGCTCGGCAGCCATGAACATCATCTTGGAATTCTTCGTGGTCACCTTCAAGGTCCTCTGGGCTTTCGTGGTGGCCGCCGCCAAATGGCTCATGCGCCCCAAGGAAAAGAGCGTGGCCGGACAGGTGTGCCTCATTACCGGCGCCGGCAGCGGGCTGGGCCGGCTCTTCGCTCTGGAGTTCGCCCGCCGCCGAGCGCGCTTGGTCCTGTGGGACATCAACACGCAGAGCAACGAGGAGACGGCGGGCATGGTGCGGCACATCTACCGGGAGATCTCGGAAGAAGCCGTGGTCGCGGCTCAGAAAGGTAAACGGGCTTGGGCTGAAGGCGGGTGGACCCTCCGGGGTTGGGCACTGGCGCGTGAGGCTGGCGCCAAATTCTCCAAGTGGTCAAGAAAAGTGGGCACCGAGTATTGCTTCGTTCAAAGGAGGAAAACTGAACTGTGTGGATATCATGAAATCCTGACTTGAGGTGCGCTGAAATGAAAATGGGAGAAAATTAGGAGTATGATTGGCACAGTTAAAAGTATTACTCTTGATTGTCCCAAAGGTGCTTTTTCAAGAGGCAACTGGACTTTCTGTTTTTTCTTTGAAGATTCTCATCCAAAAAGCTTCTTCAGCTTCTTACTCTTATTCGTTATTCCTATTCTTATTCTTGATAGGGCTTGGAACAGTGTTTCACTGAGTTCAAGGTATATCTAAACCTTCAGAAGCAATATTGTTTCTAAGCTTATTTGCTTAGAATAAGCATATTGGCTAGTTCTGGTCCAGTGCTAAGGTAGGAATATTCAGATGTTTTGCAGGAGTGTCTCATTTCCACAAGTCACTAGGAGGTTCAGTGAGTTGTGTTGCTGCTTTGCAGCCTCTCCAAAGTGACTTGTCCTGCTCTTTCCTTAAGGGCAGCAGACTTGAAAGTATTCAAAAGTTTTGGGTTTAGGAGTGGTGGAGAAGCATTGAAGGGTATCCTTGAAACTGTGGCTCTTGGGGAAAAATTCTCCATTCTTGCCACCCAAGAAGTTTAGGAATTTGGGCATTTTTTGTTGAACTGACTGAGGTTGATAGCATTGTATTATGATATCTATTAACTATTTGTATTTCCTTTTATTGTATTTTAAATGTCTCATGATTGTTTGCATCCAAAGTCACTAGTTGGAGACGGGTGATTGTACAAATTAAATAAATAAATGTCCATGTCATTCTACTCCATGACTTTGAATGACTAAAAGACACCGAATAAATAATTTAAAGTTTAAGGGTTCAAAGCGTATAGAAAAATGACAATGGTGACAACAAAATTTCTTTCTATCATAGTAGGAGCTAGGCTTTTTAAAACAATGTAAGAAATAGTTGATATAAAATAAGTAAAAAGTGCTTATGTCAAGTGCTTTTCTTGACATAAGGATGTATGAAGTGGCATAATAATTTTGCACAATGATGTAAATAAATGTAAATAATGTTAAACCTATTTGGTAGGAAGTTTTAATCACTGGTAGTACAGTAGCATTTATTCCCAGATAAATAACTCAAAAGATTGGAGCCTGCAAAATAAATTAATGATATTCAATAATGCTTGTTCCTGAACAAATATGGAAAAGGTAGGTCTACATGTCCCTACTGAGCTTGGGACTTCTTTGTTTTATTTTTTAATCAGTAATGATGCATTCCTTTGTCGTGTTACCTTCCATTTGGCATCAGTATATCACTGCTGAAGATTAGCACTATAGGGCTTGGTACTTCATTGTTTTGGTATGTAGTTGTCACACTTTATTTTTTGGAACAGGACTAACAAGAATCTTGTCAAACTGGGTAGATTAATAATTGCCTCTTATTTCCTGGTATGGAAACACTGAATATATATTTAATTAAATTCTTATTTGTCCCTCTCCTTTGCTTTCCTGGATTTCTGTAAGCAGCTGGGCATGGTGAAGAGGAAGTGCTACCTCCCTACAACTTACAAGTTCATACATACACTTGTGATGTGAGCAACAGAGAGAATGTGTACAAGACTGCTGAGAGAGTCTGCAAGGAGGTTGGTGAAGTCTCAGTCCTCGTGAACAATGCTGGTGTTGTTTCCGGCCACCATCTTCTGGAATGTCCTGATGAGCTTATTGAGAGGACCATGATGGTTAACTGCCACGCACATTTCTGGGTAACTATACTTATTTTTAATGGGATGGCTGTATGAGTTGGTTACAGTAAACTTTGATGTTCTGAAGATGAACAAGACTATTTACTTAGTTCATTTTCATGTTTCCATTTTTGCTTTGTCCTTTCTCTTAAAGTTAAATGATGTTTAAAATATATATATATATATATAGATAGATAGATAGATAGATAGATAGATAGATAGATAGATATATTGCGTGAGACTATAGTTTCAAGATGGTTTTGCCCTAGACTGGTGTGCCTTCTATCTTTATGCTGATCTTTGTACTCAGTGAGTCTGATCCAGAGAAACTATACTGCGGTGAAAATAGTAATTAAACATGTTTGTCAAACCAACTTCTCTCCTAGAGGTTTCAATAAGGGATAGGAATGTTATAGATCTTCCAGTTCAGAGATATTACTATAGAAATAACATTCACTACTGAGTTCTGTTAATTCTCCTTTTGAATTATATCGTACAGCTGGCTCTTTAGAAGTTGTAATATATTTAATGTGTTATGACAATGAAAAAAAGGCATTTCTTTTTGAACATGCTTTACAGCCTATCTGATTTATCTAGTTGGAACCGGCTACAAGAACCTATTGTCTCAAAAACATGAAGCTTCACTACTCTGACTATGATCATTGCTCAACAGAATATTTTGTTTTTGGAGTAGTAGCAGCTGTCTGAAGTCCCAAGCAGAAGTACATTTTAGCCTTGTTTTCAATCAAGGCTGGTAAATGTCCTATGCTGTATTCATAGTCTAGTATTTCTGCTCTGTTGCTACTTTGAATGGCTGTGGCTTTCATTGCCTGTACTGGCATCCCAAGAAGGGCTTACTTCCCAGGTAAGTCTATAGCCAATTGAATCTAAAGAGCACTAGAGTAGTGGAAATGGTTCCTTGGTCCCCTTTGCTTTTTTGGCAGTCCTAAATCCTCTAATGTTGAGAATGCTATTTCTAGTTTCTATTACTGACTGTAAACAAGTATCATTTAATTAAATATGATTTTAAAAAAATGATTTACATACCATTATACAGTAATCACTTGCATCCCAGCACTTGCAATGTTGATATACCGTACTTTTGGAGTATAAGATGCTCTGAAGTATAAGACGCACCTAGCTTTTGGGGAGGAAAACAAGGGAAAAATATCTGCCTTTGCCCCTTAGCAATTTGCCTCCTTGCAACAAACAGCAAACAGTACAGATAATATACATTGTTTGTATATTAACAAACAATGTTTGTAGTGTTACATTTCAGACTATACTT